TTTTTTTTTAACATTTCGTCGCTATAAAATGGCTGAAGAAAAGATGTCGAAATTTTGGTTCATTTGACCTTTAACCATCATTGTTCCTTTACAGTTTATTAATATCTCTTTGGTTTTTTTCTATTTTAGTAAACTGCTATTTTCAGGTTTCCTTCAACGAAAAGGTAGTTTTGGCCAAAATAACTCAAAATTCCAAGACTGAGCTCCTTTAAGTGTGACGTCGAGGACCTTAACAAACCTCCCCACCCCCTCCCTGCGCCCCCCCTTAGGCCCATCTTTATTTTCATCTGCCTCAACCCCTTTCCCCTTCACTAAGCACACGCAAACACCCTTTTCAAGCACCTATGGAGACCTTATTTTCTTTGAGATACAGCTATTGCTCACAGGAAATTAAGTTCAAATGAAATGTTTTAGTTCAAAATTGATGGCCAAAATTTACCTGAAAAAGTGGATCTCGAGGAGATACGGCAGGGTATTCATCTGACATCCTGAAACAAAAGACAGAACAATAACATTCAGCGCTACAATTAGAAACTTTACTCTCAAAGACCACACCAAAGGAGAGGATGGATTCTGGACTTAACATTTCTCGCGTTTTAAGTGTGTGTTCGGTCTACAATGTAACACACACAAGAGAGTTTTTCAGTCTTTTAATCCTTCAAAACAAACTACATACAGTACTAAATACCTAAATGATCACAATGATTCGATTTAGCGCAGTCTTTCCAGGAGGTAGCCTCCCACGCAGAAGCTCTTTGGGCTCGTCACGCAAGCTTTCTTCCCCAAGTGTTGGAAAAAGATTGCGTGACGAGCCCTAAGAGCGTCTGGCTATCTCTCCAATAAGCTACCAAAAGTAAATTAGCGCCCGGATAGCTAAATTGAATCATAACGGTTCCTCCAAGGAAGTGCAACCTACAGAGTTTTTATTGAGTTACGAAACTTCGGAAACGAATGACTAAGTGCAACGAACGAGTGACGGTTTGTTTGTCTTACACATTGGACAATCAACCTCTCCCAGACAAAAATTTAATTCAAATTAACACACACACAGCATTGCTTTCAAAAGCACAATTCGTTTAATAAACGCCTCGGGGAAACGTTCTCACAAGCGAATCAACCAAACGTTTTATGGCATTTCGTGATTTACATTGTCAGTCAGTGAAAGTTTTTGTTTCAGTTCCAAGCTCCTAAATACGAGTTCTTCCCTAATGAATGTTGGTACATGTAACAGTCCTATACTAGTTCCACTGTAATCGACTGTTTTCAGTGAAGAAAATGAAACAGAATTCAAATTTGTCTGCTGTGTAACATGTGATTAGTTGGGAGCGGGTAAATTATCATTAGTTTATAATTTATGTTACAACTAACAGGCTGCTGGAAACGAGCAAATGGCGGCAA